AGAAAAACAGACCAGGCAGAAAATCCCTCCCCACAAGGTAATGTAGACAGATTTCCAGTGGGCAATGTCTAGCAGATTGAGCCACATTTGATACAGCCCAAGAGATAACTCAGCATGCCCAGCCATATTTGATATAGCCTATGAGCTACATCAGTGGGCCCAGCCACATTTGATGGAGTCAATGAGATAAGAATAATCAGTGAGCCCAGCCAATGATTAACCCACATGACCTAGATTAAAAAATACAAACTCACAGAATGTAACTGCTGGGGTCATTGAGCCTCTCTCTCTCTCTCTCCTCTCTCTCTTTTTTTCTCTCTCTCCACTCAGGCCCACTCCTACCTGTCAAGAGTGTACCTTTGTTTTATTTTTTTAAGAATTATTTATTTTTTTTTAAATTGGGAACCAGCAGTTAGCATAATGGCTATGTCGCTGGACTCCCACATAGTCGACCACAGTTCGCGTCCCGGACCTGGTGGCTTAAAACTCATGCCGGGCACATGTGCATGCGTGCCCAAGATCCCGAGAGGAGAATGGAGGAGAAGGGATTGTGGCATGACCATCCCCCTGGGGGGTGATTTCTTGATTTCTGTCTTTATGTCTGTCTCTGTCTGGTGAGTGCACAAGCCCTATAGCGAAAATCTCTCCAAAAAAAAAAAAAGAATTAAAAAAAAAAGAATTATTTTTTATTTAACTTTATTTATTTATTTTAATTTGACCAGAGACGGGGGCGGGGGGAGAGTAAGAAAGCAAGCCACCAGGTCTGGGACTTGAACCGTGGTCGGCCACGTGGGAGTCCAGCACCCTTAGCCACCACGCCACCTGCCGACCACATATTTTTGTTTTTATTTAATAAACTATCCCTTCCTTTTGTTATGGAAGTGTTTTGTTCAATTCTTTGTCTGAAACACCAAGAACCTGGACATCATTGCAGAAGCCATCCTGGAACAGAACTCTCCACTTGGTAATTCTGAGTGGGGCCATCCTATGTTTTCCAAGTAAACGTGAAGATTATCAGTTGAATATCATGAAATTTTGTCTCAAAAATTTTGTCTCTGTTGGAAAGGTCCATTGAATATAAATTGCTAAATAGGCATTTTACATATATTGCTTGGAATCAGAGGTTCTACCTCTAAAATCAATCAGTTAATAAACTGCAACAATTTAGAGTTCCAAACACATACTCAAATTTATACTTTACAGGATTGTTTCTCAGTCCTTCTCACACATTAGAATCAACACATCATCAATAAAATTTATAAAAACATACTATTGTCCTGCCCCAACTCAAGACTAATTAAATTAGTATTTTTGGAGATCCAAAGCTTTCACAATAGATCCCCATGTATTGACAATTTAGGTCCTTTTGGGTGCTGTGTCATTTTTAAAAGGATTTTGCCATAGGAAGTGTGCACCTGTCTGAGAGACACAGAGAGAGACAGTGAGAATGAAAGTGAGAAACTGCCCCCAAGGAATGGCTATACCATAATCCCTTCTCCTCCATTCTCCTCCTGGGATTTTGGGCACACACACACACACACACACACACGCACGCACGCACACACACACACGCACACACACACACACACACACACACACACACACACACACGCCTGGTGTGAGTTTCAAGTCACCACATCTGGAACTCAAACTGGTGGGCCATACGGGAGTCCAGAGCATCAAACACAATTCCACCTGCTGGCCCCTAGACTCTGTTTCAAGATGCTCAATAAATTTTGTTTGTTCCCTATGTGTCCAGAAAGCGGTACTTTGTTTTGTTTTTAAGATAAACCAAACTTTGTCAGTCAAAATTTATTAACAGGAATTTTAGAAATTTACTTTCTGCGTAATGGCAATTACATAGAATAATTATATACATAGATAATTTCTTATAATTCTGACAGTAAATGTATAGAGTCGATAATATTTTATCTATTTCACAAAGGACATTTAGGCTCAGAAATACTTCAAATCATAGATGATTGCTTATTGAGTGACTCCTCCATGTCAGGCACAGTGTAAGATGTTTTACACATTCTCATGGGGTGAGATATACATTATCACTACCTAGAGGATGATCTGTGGAATGCTGGTCTGATAAAATACTTTGAAGAAAAATGTTGTGTGATTTTAAGACTTGGAAAATGCTGAATGCTTTTCCAACTTGTTGAAAAATAAAAATCTTATTTCAGAAACACTTGCCAATGAAACCCATTTTGAAAAATACTCCTTATAAACAACCTAGGTTATAGAAATTATGTCCCAATATTACATATTAAGACATCAAGACTGAAAAATTCAGTGACTTGCCTACAGTCATTTAGAAAGCACTAAAACTTGAACCTGTGTTTGGCTGATTTGGAAACTCCTCTTCTGATTGTAAAGTCTATGACTGTAAGTAACTGATTGCAATAGCTAGTTTTCTTTTAGTAAAACTGAATTAAAGTTGTTGAACTTGTCAATGTAATGCTGTAGAAAAAATATATTGAAAATTATAAAGCAGTATATAAATATCAGAATTAGGTAATATATGCTTTAAAGTAGTAAAAAAAAAAACTTTTGGAAGGAACCATTTGCTTTATCCAAATCTCTTTACTTCTTATTTCTTTAATTATTTATTTATTTTTAGGTTTTTGCCATAAGGCTCACACGCACTCATGGAAGAGAGACAGAGAGAGAGAGGGAAAGTGAGAAATCACCTCCCAAAGGAAATGGTCACACAGCAATCCCTTCTGCATTCTCCTCTTAAGATCCTGGGCATGGCAGTGCGTGTACCTGCAAGACTCTCAAGCAGTGGAGCATCTGCTACGTGAGCATCCAGCACCTCAACCACTGCACCGTCTGTTGGCCTTTCTGAGCTTCATTTTTTTTTTTTTAAGGTTTTTTGTTTTTTTGTTTGTTTGTTTGTTTTTGCCATAGGCTGTGTGCACGTGCCAGAGAGAGAGAAGGAAAGAGAAATCACAACCGACTCCCAGGGGGAGGATGACCATGCTGCAATCCCTTTTCCTCCAGTTTCCTCTCAGGATTTTGGGCATCATGCGCTCATTTCCGGCATGATTTTCAAGCCATAAAGTCTGGGACTAGAATCGCCGTCAGCCGTGTGCGAACTCAGCTCCTCAAGCACTGCACCTGCCTGCCGGCCCTTGAACTTCACTGTGAAAGGACACTCTCTGTAGAAAGGCAAGTTTTGCTAGTTACTGTTAATCCTAATTGCCTACACTTCATCAATCACACACAAACTTATTTGGTAGCATTTTTGGTTTATTACATGGAAAAATAGACTTGTGTAATTTGTGGTTTCACCAACTGTGACTCAATGTCATATAAATGAAAAGTAGTGTCATATTTATTCCAGCATCTTATTCAACTAATTCTGAAAATGTGAACTCTGTCCTGGGACCAACAAGTACATTGCTTCTATTTCAATAACACTAATACATGTTGGTGTAATTTATGTATTTTTTTCTTAGGAGTGCATTTACTTAAAGGAGAAAACAAGACTGAGAAACAATCAAGGCAAGAGACAACCTTCCTGAATGTGTTTTACTGGAGACATGTGGGGTTGACTCGAGAGATTTGTGCTTCAAAATTAGAACCCATTTAAAGCTAAGCAAAGAGAAGGCAAAATGCAACATGACTGTGCAGATGATCTATTTCTATTTCTGAAGAGTGTGTTTTAGGGATCACTTGATGTGTCAAAGGTAATCCTATTAAGGACGAAAAGACCAACTGATCTCATACTGAGGGACGATGAACGGCTTCTCCAATTCCCCTACTCACCATAAAGGGAAAACCACCCAAGAGGACCAGCAGACATTCTCTGTCACAACAAATTAAGTATGCAATTGGCTTTCTATGTCACCGAGTTGAGTCTGAGTGGGGATTATTTACAGCATGTTGAATGCAGGTGGAAAATAAATCTACAGACATATGTAGCTAGCGTGTATAGAAATTTATTCCATTTTCTCCTCCTTGCCCTTCTCCTCAACACACTTGGAATGAATTAATAATGGTCATGGATTCAGAGAGATGAGTGTGAAAGTGGCAATGCTCGAGAAAGATTGCTTTAAGGACAACCACTCTATCTCGAGTGAGAGGGAAAGTAATGAAATAACATTTTGTAGAAAGACGTTTATCAGTGCAAAGAGGCAGGGCAAGTGAGTGGAAAATTGAAGAGGCTATGAATTAGTTCATAATTTAGGACTTTGCTTGGGTCTTCAGTGAGATAATATACTGTTTGCAAAAAAAAAAAAAAAATCACAGTTTCTTAGAGATGCTGAACCTACAGAAGATTGTTAAATTCTACAATCCAATATTATTTGAGAGCTTGATGTTAATAAATTTCTGCCCAGGAATCACTCTCGCCTATGTTTCACATTTGGAAATGATGTTCAACTTTGCTAACGCTCTTCTGTGACACCAGAGGTTTTAAGTTTATTTTTCTTTCTCTGGATCACTGCTTTTGAATCTTAAAATCGAATACACCTTTGAGTCTTTGTGCAAATAATGCAGTTTAATAGTAGAATAAACTAGAATGAAAAATTAACACTGTTATTGAGTTGTGTATGTACCTATTGAATAGATAACAGCTTCAGGTAGTTTGAAAATGCATGAATCTACAGAATAACTGGAACAGGGAGAAGAAAAGAGAAGAGAAAATTCCACAAAGATGAAATAAAAGTCCACAGAACTAGCATTTTGTTTTTCTGCTTTGCACTGTTGAAAGTCTGAATCTGCTTTTTCATGAAGAGTCAATTATTTTTAGTGCATAAAGATAGAACTCGGATGACGATTTGTGACAGAGCAGATTTCTGTAAGCACACATATCTAGGAGTCCATACCCCTAACACACCCCTGCTTCAACACATAGTGCACATTTGCTTCCACTGCATTGAATTCGAAATATAAAATACACAGGGATAGGGAGTTATGGATATTTACACCTAGAAGATACAGAAATCATAGACAACAACAATTAGCAGAAACAATGTCTACTGGGCACATTTTTTTTTTAATAGAACTGATTACACAGTATGAACTGAGGACTGTGTCCGAATCCCTCTCTCCTCTCGAATTAATTTGCCACATTCTAAATCCGTAGATAAAGTGGTTCCAGAAGTGGAGTTGGTTGGATGGGTTTGCTTACATTGCAATCCATAAAAGAAACAAAAAGCCTTGCATGCAAAAGAAATGAGAAAAAATATACATAAAAATGAGTAAATCAGAAGCAAGAATGAATGTACAAATGAAAATTTAAATCGAATGAAGCTGGCAATTATGAGAAGCACATTAAAGCATAATATATACAAGCTTTTATTTTTCAAATTAGTAGCATAAAACAAGACACCTCAGGAGTAAGTTGAAGATTAAAACATAGCAGATCTGTCCTTTCTCTATCTTAATTAAAGACAGTTTTCTATACCAAGGTTTAGGAAAGGTTTTCACAATTATCTTGTAATTCCAGGGAAGATTTTCATGATGAGATTAGATTATAATATATCATCCTCTGTTTTGGGTACTTAGGGAGGGCTTCCACATACAGAAAGTGGTAGATGATTAATCAGAACTGGTTACATAATTATCAGGGCACAGAGCAAAAGGAAAATATGCCCCCTCCTTATTCAGAATCCCAAGACAGTAGAGTATTACACTGGCTCTGTTCATAGTTCATAGTTTTAAAATTATAACTTTTTTTTAATATTGAAATGGGTGGCTTAATGTACTAAAGTGGCCATGAGCTTTCTATTTTGTTTATTCTAGTATGCTTTGAAGAAATAACCTTAAATGTATAAGCTTGTGGTGTGATTTCCTTTACAAATAAAACTAATAAGCAAAAATGACTATTAAAATCATCCGGTAAACCTAAATATAATTTTGAAAAATAAGCATTTTTCAAATATATTTTATTGCATTTTGTATTGCTTATCATCTTCTTGGCTCAAAAAAATGGGGGATGGACTTTTTTGTTATAAATTAGACTTTGATAGAATACTGTTTCATACAAATTGTTTTGTATTTTAGCATGGGTTTAGAATCTACACTTAAGGGCTGGCAACACTTCTCTAACATCTGTTTATTTATTTTTTTAATTTTGGATTTTTTTCCCTTTCTTTGTCTAGTATTTTTATTTTAAGAGTAAATAATTGTTCAAGAAATGAACTGGGTTCCGAATTTCTGCACTGTCATTCCAAGTAGAGCTAATTGGATTTAGTGTATAAGGCTCTTCCTTCTTCTCATTAATAAATGATGGAGCCACAGTGCCAGCAGCACCTGGCAGGGGTTCAATGGCTCTTTGCCCTAACTCAAAAAATGACTCTTCTGGGCATCTAATTCAATAGCTGTTACAAGAAAGAAAGAGCATGCATCCTTAGAAACCACAACTTTAAGGCAGATATTGCAGACTTAAAACTACCCAGTCCTAGAAAGAGATGACTCACCTGTTCAATATCATTGTTCTTCCGTGATTTATATATAAATTCTCCAATGGCTACAAACACAGAAAGGACCAGTCCAGCCGCCAGAACAATGAAGATGCCCCCAATATTTTCTACACCCAGAGCACTGGCCTCTTTGTTGTCTTCCTCGGGGCAGCCATTTCCCCGCCACCACTTCTCTTTCATCATATGCAGCTTCCCCTCTTCTTGTAGTTGAAGAATAGCAATCGTAATTTTGTCCCGATAAGGAGAGCCTGCAAGTGAGGTCATTTGGATATTGATCAACAAAAGGTTGAAGCAGACGTCACGATGTATTATTGTCTTAGTGGTAACTACTTTATGGCTGTTGTGAGATCCCAATCCACAAATCGACTAGCAAAGGGCAGAAAAGTTCAATCCTATATTTCGAAGGCTCTAAATAATTGGAAAGGGGATAGCTGACATGTTGAGATTAACTCTGGTCCAGGCTGTTTGCTTTTTGGAAGTAAGGAAAAGCTAAGCTAGGAATTCTGTGACATCTGTTTCTGTTAAATTCTTCTTGTGACTTTTTCTAAGTCAAGAGATTTTGCTGTTTAGATTCTGCATTTTCGAGGCTCTTGGTCGTCTCATACTGTGATAGTCTACTAAAACGATCACTAGTGCCATTTTCTCTTCCTCCTAGGGGAGTAACTATTAATAGATATTCCCTAGTCTGCCTTATATTCACTGTGGCCATGTAGCTGATTTGGAGCCAATGGGAGCTAAAGTGATATGTGACATTTCCAGTCCTATGTTATAAATCTTCCCCAAATGATCTCCTGCTCTCACTTGCACATTTGTGGACTCTCTCTCTTTCTCAAATACACAGCAGAAAAGTATGGATTTCAAGCCATTGGTAAGGCATAGGAGGAGGCCGAACCACAAAATAGAAGAAACTTGGGTCCCAGAATGAAGAGTCTCTCTTTCAATCCACATTGTGATGTGATAAGATCAAGAAATAAGTGTTTACTGTGAAAGCCACTGAAAATTTGCAGATGCTGGTCATACTTGTGAGTTCATACAGACTAAGGCACCTCTTACGTGAGCTCAAGAGTAGGTTTTGAATAACACAAAGGTCCCACGAAATGTAGTTAGGTTGAACAAGTTTACAGACTTTATTGATAATATTTATACTCTATCTTTGAGTAATGCCATGGAACTTCTACTTGTGTAAGGATTAAAAAATACTAACATATATTTCAGTAAGCATAGCTTCTTGATACTGGATTCCTATGTCAATCAATACAAAAGAAGAGACAAAGATTCTTTTTCTAATTTATTCTTGGATGGTAAGAATACTTGTTAGAATTTTTTTTTTTTCCATTCAGTTAGAAAGTAGTGCATATTGGTTCTCTGCTTGCAAATCTTAACGTTCTTCTTAGTGGAAGCAAATTTAAAAATTAATCACCTTAGGGCCAGAAGAAAGCTTAAGAATTAGCTAGTCCAGTCCAGTCTTTGAATTGAGGAAATTTAGGACTTGAAAATATGAGTACTAGTGGAGTCAAGAATTAAATTCCATTTTCTTTCATTCTTAAATCTCAGTGTTATTTTCTATTTATTTATTTATTTATTTATTTATTTATTTATTTATTTATGTATGTTTTGCCATAGGACATGTGAACTCACTGGAGAGAGATAGACTGGGAGAGGGAAAGTAAGAAATCACCCTCCAAGGGATGATGGCCATGCTCAGTCCCTTTTCCTCTATCATTCTGGGATTTGGGGCATGTACACACACATGCCAGGTGTGATTTTCAAACTGCTAGGTCCAGAACTCAAATTACAGTTGGCCATCCACATGCCGCCATGGGAATCCACATGCCGCCATGGGAATCCACATGCTGCCATGCCACCTGCTAGCCCCTTTAGTGTTATTTTCATTAAAGCATTTCCACACTGCCCCATCCACTCCCACATGTGTCTGATGTCCTATGGTATGTCTCAAGTTATACAAACAGGGAGTTAACATCTGTGATATCTGTGATAATTACTTTTTTTAAAAATAGGCATATGCACTTGTTGGGGAGACACAGAGAGAGAGAAAAGGGGGAAGTGAGAAATCACTCCCCAAGAGGGGTGACCACAATGCAATCACTTCTCTTCTATTCTCTAGGGATTTTGAGCACACATACACATAAACCCAGCATATTTTTCAAGCCACCACTTCTGGGAGTCAAACTGTACAGTGGGCTAAGTGGAATCCTGCTGCTTTAGCCTCCACACAACTGCTGGTCTGGCATTTGACATTTTTTTTTCCTCCCAAGACTTCCTAAAGTAATTGTCAGCACTAAATATCAATTTTAAAGGATGAGTAAAATGCTTTGGAGTGGGATTATGGCTTCTCAATTAAGAGTGTGGACTTTAGTGAAAAAAATGAATTTTGAAAGCCAAAATAAAAAATACTGTTTTTTGTTTAAACACCTCCAGAATAATGACTAGTGTCAAAATTAGTACAATTAGTATATCATAATGTGAGTAATTAAGTGAATGAGGAGCATTTTGCTTTAATGCACCTCAAAGCGCTTTGAAAAATGTAAGAATGATTCTTACGTTAGTGGTTGCAGCAGTAATCATAGCAGTATGCAGAGTGGGTAGTCATAAACGTTGGCTGACATGTTCCTTCTGCCTTCAGGCTGCACAATACCTAAATCACTTCATACAGACGGTGATCCGATCTCTGTTTAAAGTCGCTCTCTCAGGAGGCAAATTGCCAACCTCTCAGTAACCTGTGTGAGCCTTAACTGCTCTCATTCTCTTGAAGTTTTATTTTACATCCCTCAGGAAGCACATTTCCAGAACTTCTGTCCTAAGAGTCTCTAAGAAGCAGTCTTTCATTTTGTGTTGTGAGTGAGCTGACTTTGCCAATCTTCAACCATAGATGCTTAAGGGGGTCAGTCACAACAAAATCAGAAGTGAGTGGAGAATTTTTTTTTTTTTTATATCTGAATATATTTTAGCTTTTATCTTTGTTGTTGTTGCTTAAATGGACTGAATGACATCAGAAGAGATTTATTACAAATCACTTGAAAAAACATATATAACCACAGATATTCCTGAATAGCAACTGATCTTTCTTAAAGAGTTCATTCATCATAGAAGAAACATCTCACAAGTGTATCCAACAGCTGTATTCCCAAGGGATGTATTGTCTCTGAGGTCTGCCATCTGTTGCAATTATTCTTTCATTGTCTCTGGTTTAAAAGCATGACAGGTTTATAACTACCATGAAAAATTTCTGGAGTATATTTCTTTGTTCTGGGGGAGGGAGGTGGCAGAAAAGGGGCTGAACAACTGCCATCAGATCTCTGTATACCATATACATGGAATATTCAAAATGTTCATGGAAAATGCATATTATGGAAAAAGTATGCGTGGTTTTCAAATATTTTTTAATTGTCAGAGGATATGTGTGCTTGTGAGAGACGGCGTGGGGGAGGGTCATACTCTTCAATGGAGTATGATCATGTTAGAACCCCTTTTCTCCCATTTCTCTGTCTTACCAGACCTTGTAGCATGCATGTGCACATGCCTATAATGTTTTTCAAGCCATTGGGGCTGGAAATCAAACCATGGCCAGCGATGTGGACTCTGGCTCCTAATGCAAAATGTTTAACTACTTAAAAAAAAAACTATTAATGGATCTCAAACTTTTACAGCAAAATAAACTTACACAGTACCTTCATTTTTCCATGAACTTTTTGAAGTTCCCTCATGCATAAAATGTAATGATACGCATTACAGTCAGTCTCATTCATAAGGAGGCAGGCAGTAATTTTCAAAGTGATACATTAATTTAAGAATGTTTCAGGAAAGAGGCCACTGTTGCATCCCCTTCTTCCCAACTCCATGCTACTCACCATACTGTCAGAAATTTTAGTTTTTGAAATATATTCTATTCTGTAGAATGAATGCCAATTGAAAGTCTCATGTTAAAGTACAAATGTTCTCAGGAGGACTGATGCACACTGTTATTTTCTGTCATTAGTACCATTACTAATGGCAGAATAGGGTGTTAAAAGGTGGTGGGGTTGTGTTATGATGTGAAAGATGGGGTGATAAAGGTGTAATTTTTTACCTTAAATTTAGAATAAAGATGATCTACTAAGAAACTATGGTTTCTCCTCTAAAATAAAACAGACTCTATTACAATCTATCATAGAGTCTCTATTCTGCAAAAATTCAGACAAAAGCACTCACTTTTAGTGTTGTTTGACTTTTGCCCATTTAACTAAAATCAACAGTAAATGACATATTAAAAAATAACATCAGTTCAACTTTCTCCACTCCTATAACCTCAAATGAGGTGACAAGGCTTGGTTAGAAAGGCAGAACATTGTTTTTAAAGTAAAAAATCGGCACAATGTCCTTTTAGTTGGTGTCCAAACATACTACTGAGCACCCTGGCATGTTGACTAAATTATAGGAGACTTTCCATTTGGAGAAAAAATATATACTTCAGTAACAATATTTTTATCAGGAAAGGTTACTGGAATTAAAGGGACTAAACAGAAGTTAGAGATCCTGCAACATCATTTTCACATAAAATTTATGTATCCATGACAAACAACATAATGATAACAATAAAGTTAATTTTTCCATAGTGTATCATTCTAATCATCAGGTAAATAGCAGGGAATCAAATTAATTGCATATTTGTGATAAATGTTGAAAAATGTTGGCTTTGTTAGCCTTTATCTGATTGATAAGATTAGTACTAATATAGCTTAAAATGGGGTTGAATACAGGATACACAGTCCTTACTTACAATGAATTTGTTGCCAAATTAAAGTAGAATCGTTCACCTAAAATCTGCATTTTTTTCCCCCAGAAAAATGGAATATCTGATGACCTTGTGCTCCAATGGCTACATGTCTACAATGGGACCTGAGAAGCAGTTGCCCAGTTAGATAAATCCTTGGTCTCTAATTCTCTGTAGGTGCTACTATTCCCCACTGGCTGCTCAGCAAGCAAGCTTTTCTCACTTACAGTATCTGTTTGGTCTCTTATAAGCATTTGAGGTTGTGATCCCTGCCTAATGTTAAGAGTCAAACTAGACTAACTTACTGAGACAACAGAAATGATAATAGAAAAAAGGAAAACAAATCTACCTGGGTCCTTAATTTTCTGACTTGATTATTGTAACTGTAATTTCTTCTTCTTCTTTTATTTATTTATTTATTTATTTATTTATTTATTTATTTATTTATTTATTTATTTATTTTGACTAGCCCAGTGATCTAGATGGTTCCAGATTCCTCTTTTTTGGAATATTCATCAAAAAATCATTAGTAACTCACTTGAGAAGAGCAGGGTGCCACTATACCAAAACCTTATGCAGGAGTGTTCCATAGAAATGAAAATCATAGAGAGGAAGTTTTCTGCACAGAATAATTACTCTTTGAATATTGAAGAATATTCTGTTCATGTTTGTTATTGACATGCAAGAAGACATCGCTAGGTTCATATGCCTACAAGGCAGTAATATCCCTAGAGGGCACTGGTATAGAACTAATACAAATATTTGGAGGTTTTAGATAGTTCTCATCTATTGAATCTAGCATATTGTCTGAGCAAATTATAATTTAATCTTTAGTCTCTTTATTTTAAGTAACATAGCCTTGCCTTTTTATCTATTGACATGGAACGCTAACTCTCAAACTTTCGTCATGTCTGTGCAAAATTAGTTTTCTTCCATTCCAGTATAACTTAAGGCAGAAAAATGACATAGGCTTATATAACTATTGAAGAAAATAATGTGAAGAGAATTAATTAGGAAAATGGCTTGTTAAAAGTTATTTGCAGTAAAATAGTACAAGCTATATACTTTTAAATAGTTACCCAACAGCAGGTCTAGAAAGAAACACTAGCTAAAAGTTTAAGTTAAATATCTGGGTATCCTCACTTCAGACCATGCCTCTCATCTCTAAGGATATTTCCATTACATAGTATACTGCCAAAGTTATTAGAGGCCTACTTACAATGTGGAATAGAGAAGTCTGAGCCCATTCCCTTCCATACTTTAATCGACATTGCCCATATCATTCTGGGCTAATGCCTTGCCCTCTTACCGATAGGCGTTCCCACTCCATAGCCTTTGGAGTCAATGAGGCCCCCGATCTGAGTGAGGTTGCAGTTTCTCTGCGTCACATACTCAATGCTGGTGGACTCCATCAGCAGGGCATAGTCTGTGGTGAGCACCCGCTGGATGCCCTCATCACTGTTTTTGACCAGGGCTGTCTGCTGCCTGCTGCTCATGAAAGCCCACATCTTCTCATAGGTAGATATTTTTGATTTCTGCAGGAAGAGAAAGCACAGCCACCAGCAGAAGAGTGCTGAAAAATATATGGCCTAAAAGTATTCAAAATCAAATAATGTTGGGAAGATTCTTTCTCTGCAGGTAAGGAGCCAAGATTGATGATTCCAAGATTGCAGTTTTACAGTTGCAAAGAGACTGATTCACTACAGGAAAGCACTAAGAGGCAGTGAGGCAGCTCTGGAGGAAAAGAAGACCTTTACCATTAATGTAAGACATTGGCGTAAGGCCCTTTTATTGCTTTCAGCTAGGAAAGAAAGAGCATTGGTAGGAATAGCAACACTTGCTTAATCATCTGTGGTTACTTAAAAGCAAGCCATCATGGCCCATTTGGACCAAGGTTTGAGTAACTCACTCAAGGACTCTACCAGTTTACATTTCATTTCAACACCTTCACTTCAGTAGACATTGCTTTACTGTTTTTGGATAGGAAAGTTTTCAACACCACATCCAGCATCCTTTTCTGGGAACAGCTCTGAGATGAATCACTTGCTTTTTCTACTTTGTTTATAAAGAACTGGCATTCACTCTTATGCTTTCTAGAAAACCTAGAATACTCTTTTCCAATTAAAATTCAGACCAGAAAATTCTTTATACTGTATTTGTATGCCTTTCCATGTATGCAATTTTTAAATTACAGTAATAGTTTAGATAATGAGGACTGCATATCTCGTTTCAAAATATTTTATAGTATTTCTTTTTCCTTCTTCAGCATTTTGACAGATTCTGTGATAGGCTATATATATATATA